AATGACTTACAGTCGAGCATGGGAAATTCATCAACATTACCTTACGGAAATTTTAATTTGAAAATGATATTTGCGCGCGCTGAAAGTGATTAATGTTTATTTGAATATATCAAATAAAAAGAACTTTATGTTTGTGTTCTAAAAAGAATTGCGCGGCATAAGACGAATTTCGTTTTCATTTACAACACTTGAAAAATTACTACAGATTAAATATGTTATGTTTTTTTATTGTTTTTGTTTTCAACAAGAGTGTGTGTTTTAAGTTCATTCATTCTCGCACCGGATAACCATATGTCCGAGATTATAGCATCGGGGACGTCTTTTTCAAGCAGAATCTTCCTGGTAGCCCATTCTTCGGTTCGTTAGTGGTAAAGAGACGACAGTACTACTTCAAGGCATCAACTTCCTGACTGACGACAACAAAACGGCATTCATTAGCGTCAAACCTCCAGTAGTAAGTTACGACAGTCAACCAATCACCTCTGGTACTTGAGATGAACTTGACCTTTGATGGTGCCGTGTGCCTTCTCCGCGAGTGACGTGCATACCTCTGGAGGGTTATTTGGAGAAGTTTCAACAAAAACCTCCAAAAACACGCTATTATAACACCATTCATAGCACTGACGCTTCGATTTCTCATCTATTTGCGGGAAATGGTCGACAAGGAAAACTACGTAATAACCGCACACTCTGTTAACAACAGATTTTTCCGCAGTATATATTTCAAGCTAGTGAGGTTTCAAATCCATAAGTTGGTGAGTGTTGGCGGTTAAAAAAAGAAGATAAAAAAAAGAAGATAAAAAAAAAGATATAACTTCCTGATTCAATTTTCACTTAGGTTGATTCAATTTTGAATAAGCTTTGCAGATATGTATTTTTTCAAGAAATATTTAGCTTTAATTATACTAGGACGAAAAGAAACGCCGTGTGTACATAAAATATGCAACACATATTTTATTGCTTGGCCTAAAATAATGAAAATCGGTCAGATTTATATAATGCCCCATGTCGCCAGAGTTTGCCAGCAACTTTCTTGCCAACAGTAAACATACACCCACTCGATGGCCAGCATTCAGTCCAGATTTGTCCCCAATTGAAACATTTGTGGACGAACTGCGATAGGAGGGTAAGGAGACGTCCAATATGCCCCCACTAATCATGTCCAGCTCACACATGCCTTGCAGAAGAATGGAATAAACATCCCATGGCCATGATTAACACTCCTGGTGAATTTTCCTGCATAGCACGGATCAGTGGCGTGCCACAGCTGCCGCATGCAGACACACAATTGATACTGATTGTCCGGCCGGTGTTCCGTTTTTTTCTCTTTTTTTTTCTTCTTTTTCGTGTTCTTTTCGAAAACAAGAAGATCCATTCGTAGCATAAGAGGGGTTATTTTTTCACATAATCAGCATCGGAAATCCGATTGAACTTCAACAGCATGGTTCCACTACAGTACATTTATACAAAGAAATATATATCCAATATCATTTATCCCTTTAAACAATATGTATAGGTAACCGGCGTTTTCTTTTCGTCAATTATCCGTTTCCGTCAAGATCCGCGGTATTTGAGGAAAAAATTTTCTGAAACGTATTTATTCAGATTTGGTATCGTGAAAAGACAACTTTCTGTCCGTAGAGCCATGAATATTAATACTCATCACAAGACAGTGTCTGTATTAATCTCAATTATCGGTACATGTAAATATGTATAATTTTTATGTTCAATTAAAATGTTGCTTAACTTGCAGTTGTTATTATCATTCAATGATATTAAAATGACATAAAGTATTTTGATGAACAGTCCTAGAATATTTTGATAAGGAACCGTCAGTTGTAAAATGGTATTATATGATCTTATATGAACAGTCGTCATACCTGCTGGTATGTCATTTTATAAATGGTTTTTAGGTTTTTGCAAAATTTGCATGATTAACAATCCGAATGTAGACCTCAATGAAATGTTCTGGAATATTAACAAAATGAATAGTCAACCATATTAACCATTTATTGAATGGCTGAACGATAAATGGCGGCAATGTGCATATCTTCTTATTTAACAGCACATTTTAAGCAAAAAGAAAAGAAACTATAAGTCTGAAACATTCTGTCATAGCCTCCCCATCAGTACATTCAGTGCTTTGATTATTAAATGGCTTTATTACACTCCTGCGCCGCGGTTTATGTGATAAATGTTTATTGCAGTATGCAAATAGAAGTATAAATTTCACTGCATGATTTTATTCTACATCTTCAATAAAATTGGAAAATAAATAAAGTTCATAGGTCAAAAAAACATCACATGCTGCCAAAGTAGGAATTATATATTTTGTATAAATATTAGATATAAGGAGAAAAGATGCACTTACTTTTTTATTGGGTAATTTCTACTTTCACTTTGCCATTGTTTTTAGAATCGTCTGCTGCGTGAACTTTGACCTCACATAAATACTCTTTTAGTGGGAGTTTAGTTAAGTACTTACATGTGTTGGAAAAACAAAGCAAAGAAAGTTCGTGTTTTATCAAGTTTATTTGAAAAAGATACAAAAAACAAAATTTTGATCGAGGACCTGGCTGATCGAGGACGTGTCCAATCACTCTACAAAAGTTTTACCTCCTTCTCCAAGTAATCGTCTTTCTGTTTTTTTTCCTGGCCTGGACAATATCATCAGAGGTCCAGTAAAATTCCAATGGCACTCCATTGTAGAAGTTTTCAACAAACTTTAAAATATTAACATTATACATAATATGGTATAAGTGATAAAAAAAATTTTTGTATACAAAATATTAACTGTATGTTAGATGTGATGAGGATGAACTTTATTTAAATAATGTATAATCATGGGACAACACTGTATAATTTCTGCTTATTTTTTAAAACTAGAAATGTGTTGTAATGCTGTGAATGCCCCTGCAATGCACTGCCAAACTTTCAAATTTTATAATATAAACATTTAGTTTTAAATTGGTATGCACAAAAGATTTTTTTTATTCTAAGTTCAAGGCCTTTAAACTATTCAATCTTAATCTTTTTAGGATGGCTCTATACATTAAATGCTTAAAGTTTTTAAAACACTGCATCTAGCAATTTAATTGTTTTGTGAAATTATTTGAAAATATGTTGAGTCAACTATTACACTTTAAAGTGACATTATGCCCATCCAAGGGTATATAGTGTGTGAACGGGTGAAGATCAAAATAAGGTTTCATTTTGCCATAATTCCTTTTAATTTAATAATTAATTTTGCATTGCATAAACAATAAATAACTCGCAGATCCAAACGAAATTTCTGTAAATAGCCATTAGAATTTACCTATAACGCTTAGTTTATAAAAAGAGTGGGGCAGTCTTTTTAAATTTTAGGCAGATTCATAATTTTATCGTAAACATTTTCCAATATCAACTTTTGGTTAAACACCATTTTGACAGTCAATCTTTTGAAATATAAAGTTAATTCAGCTCAACTTGACTATGAAAATACGAGCATAATGTCACTTTAAGCTAGGTGGTTCAAGTATTGGACTTGCAAGTTTTAATCCCACTTGGGATATATTTCATTTGAAAATTGTTTTCACATTTCTCCTTTGTTACTATAAATGTTATGTACTTTAAACTTAAAATAATTGTTCTTTGCCACCACTCACATCATGTATGACAATGTTCATAAGTCTAGCATCTTTATTTCAAGAGTTATCTCTTCTTTAGTTTTTAAACATGTTATATTCTGGTAACAACAAGGATAGTCAGTCCATCTGTCTGTCCCTAAAAACTGATTTTATTGAGATCACTTTGGAAGTTGGAACTTTTCCAACAAAATTACTTAAAATAGAGAAAATTGAAAGATTAGTTAAACATATTCATGCTGAGAAAATTGGATCTTTTGATTATTTGATGTATGAACATAATTTCCTTACTGGGCAGGGAAACTTAACACATTACCATGATACAAAACTAGGAACTCAAAAGATTTAAATTCATTCATGTCTTCCTGGACAATGTAATAATTGAAGGTACATGGCCCTTTTGAATGTTGCTGGTGTTCTAACCTGAGTATTTTGTATTGCTTGTAATACTATGATAATTTCTTGTTATACCTGTTTTTCAGTGGAGATCCTAAAGACCTTCTATCCAGATTAGCCTCACAGATTGACCATAATGGTTGTGCTAACCTGATCAATGTTGACAGATATGACATTTTAGACGGAGCCAGGAGAGGGTTTCAGCGCAAAAAAATTCAAGAATGAGCGCAAACTAAGTGTAAAGTTGTGCGTGTGTGTGTGTGTGATAAATATATATATATATATTGTCACTTAAAACATATTCATATGTTTTTTAATATGTAAATATAATAAAAACATTGAAAATACTTTGATTACAGCAAATGCAAGAGCTGAGATATCAAGCATGAAATGTCCAAGTTTGTTCCAATTATGGTCTTGGGGTCATCATTGACCCTAACCCAGGGTTCTTGGTTTTCATTATAAGTACATGTATATAGGAAAAACTTGTTGAACAAATGCAATCTTCCTCCTTTATTAGTGTCATACTATACAAAGAAGTGGAATTGCATTTTTTTAAGTGTGAAAATGCAAAAATATTTCATTCATTTTGTAAGATCAAGGCACTCTTCACAAAATCAATTATAGATTTTAAGAATAAAACAATAAATGATAATTATTTGTCAATACAAGACAGTTTTTTCCTGGTTGCTAGGTATATTTGATTGATGGGCTTTCTTCTGTATGTTTCTAAATACATACTTTAAAAGTTTACAAATTGTCAACATTTTTAACACCTTTAATTATGATCAAATAAAAATTTCTTAAGACATTAAGACTTATTATGGATACCATTTTTTTGGTTTTGGTAATTCACTTAAATCCAAACATAATCAAAAATTTTATTCAAGCACCAAGATCCCTTTCAGGTCTCTTTTTATGTAAAATGTTATATTTACAGGTGAAGAAAGAGGGGATTATATGTTATTTGGGAGGATGATGGCATATTTCAACGTTCATAGAGGACCTTGTCCCACTTTCCTTTCCAGCCTAATGTACAATTTGATAGCAGGTGTATCTTGCAAGCCTAGCATATCCGATGTTACTGATTAAGAGACTAGAGCACAGCTGAAAATGGTTTGTTTCAAGCTATTTAATTTTTACCTCACCTGTCAGGAATTAACAAGGTGAACATTTGTGATCAGTCAATGTCTGGCTTCCGTTGTTCGTATGTGTGTGAGTCAACAATTTCTTTAAATGACATCTCCTCATAAACCATTTAGTCATTTTCACCCAAACTTATCAGGAATGTTCCTTGGATGAATTCTACAAAAAATGTTGAAGTTGCTCCTTGGGTCAAAGGGTTAGGATTTCAAAATGTTACTTCGGCCTATATCTGGAAAAGTCCAAAATCATAAAGCCTGTATCCTTGATATTTGGTCTGTGGCATCATGTAATGGTCCTTTATGAAAATTGTTAAAATTATGCCCATAGGATTCAAGGCGCCATGCAGCCCTTTTTTCAAAATCTTCTTCTCCAAAACTCAAGATAAGAGCTTAGATATTTGGTTTAAATCATCATCAAGTGGAGCGTTACCAAAGTTGTACAAATTACGACCCCAAGGTATTGTTTTACATAGGCTAAATTTTAAAGTTTAAAATCTTCTCACTCACTCACTCACTCAAACAATGAAATAGTGTCTGATCAATAAATTTAGAACCCCTTTACCTCGGCTTTCGAACATCACATCCAGAGAGTACTCATCATAATTATAAATAGATTACTAGGCGTAACTGATTTTGGAGTGACACAATGTCAACAGTCAAGATCGCAGGGGCCTGAGCCCTAAAAACAGCTTGTGATTAATAAATGGACCTTCAAACTTTGCATACTGATAGTACTTACTGAGTACATGATCCCTTTATTTTGGAGCTAGAAATAGAAAAAAAATATCTTGGTTTAAACATATTTTTATTTAGATAATATATACATGTTAATAATTTACAATTTAAGCAGAAAGGAATTGGACCGAGAGCTACAATAGCTCCTTTGAAAAAAAATATCTTCACAACTTATTCTCACATGAACCTAGATGGATATTCACTAACATTTGCTCTAGAACCATCCTGGTATGGACTTCTCTTAAATATATTGAAATACTTTTGTTTGGTCCCCTTTTATTTCAGTACTATTTATGTTTTAGTATGTAAACTCTTATGTATTTCATACTGTAGAGTTCATCTTAAAATAATGACTCAGGGTATAGGAATTTTGTTCAGAAAATTAAAAATTACTGCATAATACATTGAAGAGAAATATTAGAGGAAGTAGGAAATTCATTTGGAATTAAACATTTTTGTGTTCTGTTCAAGCCACTATTTTGTTTTAAGCAAAGAACCTCGAGTGCAGACGATATAGCTTCACTGTTCAAAGTTACATACATTGACGAAAGAAGCAATGCAAGGCTACAGGAAGACGTTACGGTTTATGCATGGGGACTATTTTTACAGTCAATTGAAGGTAAGTTAAAATAACTGCAGTAATCATAGTTATAAGTCCCCATAATTATAGCTTTATCTTCCGCCCGACAGTACATCTGTTCGTGTACAAGTTGTCGTCATGAGATTTATTCGGTAGAATACTTCACTGTTAGATTAAGATATATACATGTGGGGTTTAAAATGGAATGTGAGGTTAAAAAAGATCAAAGGATTGAAATATGGATCATGTGATAGCTCAACGTATTCATGTTAGATTCTGAAACATCTTAAGATGAACAGAGGGCAATAAGTTTCAAACTTTTGATAGGACCAGAATTCTGGCTGTTTTGGCAACAAAACTGAAAATGAACTGAAATCAAGACCATGCAAAAAATATGCGTTGTGGAGCTGTTAAAAAATCACGTCATGCTTTATCTTTATGCATTTCAAGATCATTGGGTTCAGTATAATAAGCCGGCTCTATGTAGAGTATGCATTGTACTAGTTTTCATAAAGAGCACAGTAAAACCAGAGACTGTTTTTTCCGATTTTGGTTGATATGCTTTCGAAAGGACTAAATAAATTTGAAATTTGTGTATTGTGCATTTGTATTTTTCCTTATAAAAAACTTTCAATTTCAGAACGTGATGTTCCTGTTACCTTCGCCGAGTTGCTTACTTTTTCTACAGGGTGGGATCAGATTCCACCATGTGGTTTTGCAAAAGAAATAGATATTTTGTTTTACAATCAAGAGTCAGACTCGACTCGACTGCCATTCGTCTCAACCTGCGGATTGCAAATGTGGTTACCTAGAAATGAAAATCCGGAATCATTGTCCCGTCTGCTTTTGAGAGCAGTTAAGGAGTCAGCAGGATTCCTGAAGGTGTAGAAATTGTATAAACATCCATAGGAGCATGGAGTTGAGACCGTATGTTCCCCGTCATATGCAGTTTTGCCTTTGTATCGTGACCTAAGACTCCAAGATTCTACCTATATCGTATCTTTGATAAATGACCATCAAAGTGCATGTAGACTGAACATCTATATTTCTGTCTACCGGCATTTCAGTGGTAATGTAATAAAGTTGTCATTTGAGCAAAATAATTTTGTCAAAAGCCGTACTGAGAAACGTGCGATCTGGACTGCGAGCTCCTATGAAAAGAACGGAAACTGATTGGTAAAGCCTTGCTTGTACACTTATGTAGTGTGTTTTATACCTGTGACTGCTGCTTTGCATTACAAAAATAATAACCTTGTGCCTATGTATAAAGGAAAAGAACAGAAGAGTTTTGGCGTGAAAACAGATAAACTTGTTACATGCGAGCGCGGCGTCACCCTTCAAATGTAAAAGTGTAACTTTATTTGATGTGCTTTGGTGTTTTGGTTTATTTAGTTTAGTCAAAACGTTTTACAGTCTAGTGGCTAACTCTTAGAAACCTATATGAATGACTATTGAACAATCATTTATTTTTGATATGCATAAATGAAACAATGTGAAATATGACTTATAGTTCTATCTCATTAGGCATGCGTTTTCATTTACATGTTACTGTGTACACGTTATAACATTCTGAAATAATGTATGGTTTTTGCAAATGTTTATGTATTCATCAGATTAGAATGTCAATTAACAATTCAAGTCAATGTTTCAGTTATGTTTACCAGCTTTTACATTGTTTTAACAAAGTATTGCTGATCTTACTATAACATGATTTATTACATTGATATGTTTTTTAATTATTATTTGAGCCCAGACTTTATCCCCGTGATCCATATTTTAATGTTGCCAGGAGTCCCAAGAAACCCAAGTACATGTATTATCGAGGTTTATAAAAACTGTATAAAATATGCCTTTATTTGACCTAGTTTTAATCACACCTGACCTGGATTCTTGGTGATTAAGTTCCTTGAATATAAAAAGTGTTTTAATTTTTAGCTCACCTGACCACTAAGTGGTCGAGGTGAGGTAAAGTGATTGGTCTAAATCCAGCGTCGTCAATGAGGTTGTTAACACTCTGTGATGTTTGCACAATGCCGGAAAAGCGAAATGTAGAAATATCAAAAGTCTAAAATGTACATGTATTGTTGGTAGTCTGCAGCTTAAGCCTTTTGACTGCACTATTGCATCCTTTATGAAAATATATCATTCATGACTTTATTGATCAAGTTTCCCCGACATCAATTAAAACTTTTTATAATCCATGGTAATACGTCTCGCCCTTCCTGAAGTGTTTCTGGTTTACGTCTTCCACCTCTTTGAAGAAGATCACTCAATGTTAATTCTCCATGTCTGACAACCGCTTGGATTAGATAGAGGATATATTTCTTTAAATCTTGTCAAGTCTCCCATGTCTATCACCATTTTATAGTCTTTGGTGCCTGATAAAAAAAGCACAAAACTTGCAATGAATTATTAAAATATATATATTTAATAGACATATAAACCTTTACAAATATGGTTAGAGACATTCACGTTATCTTTGTCACGAATCGTGTTAATCTAAGAATAACCTTGATACATATATATGATATACTTACTATTCATATTGATTAATGAAATTGGAAATATTATTATAAACTCTAGTTACGTATATTTAACTAAAGAGGTATTGTCATTTGAATTAAATTTTCACTGTTATTCATTCAAAATGCGGTTTGTATGTTATTGTTTAACACAGTCTCCAATATTTCAAATATCAATCAATCAATCAATCATAGGTATTTTTATAGCGCGACACTTTATACAGTTATATTCTGTTGCGCTTCACAAGATCCTATAATGTCAAAGTCATTTCCACAGATTAAAACTATATAATATACACATTTGACGAAACTGTTTATCTATAAAATTGTTCAAAGAGGTGTGCTTTCAGTCTTTTTCTGAATGCAATTTCCGATGCAATGCACTTTAAGTCTTTTGGTAGGGCGTTCCACCATTTAGGTCCCATAACAGAAATAGATCTGTCACCAAGTCTGGTCCTGCGTCTTGGCACAACAAACTGTGAACAAGTGTCATCAGCAGCTGATCTTAGACTGTATTTTCTTCTCACACAATTAAACAAAGTTAGGAGATACGTTGGAGCTGTTCCTTGTATTACTCGGAAAACAATAAGAATTACTTTAAACATAATCCGTGCCTTGACTGGTAACCCATGTAGAGATTTTCTGAGATCAGCACTAGGTTGGTCATACACATTCATTACTACCCGAGCAGCCTGGTTTTGGAGTCTCTGAAGTCGATCTATTTGATAAACTGGTATTTCTGCAAAAAGTCCATTACAAAAATCGATGTGGGAATTGACTAAACCATGAACTAGTATTTCCGTTGATTTCTAAAACAGATGCTTACGAATGGATTTCAGGTTCTTAAGTTGAGAGTAGGCTATTTGACACTTTCCCCGTATATGCCTGTCAAAACTACGATAAAATTTACCTGTTGTGATTAACTCCTATGCTCAATTAGATTGGTTAAAATCAATGTTTTTTACCCTCTTGCTTTTGTTTTTAGAAGCGAAGTAATAGATATTTATTTATATTTTATCATAGGTCCGTTATTTAGATAATAAAACTTTGACCACTTTGTCCAGTCTTGTTGTGCACTCTTATTTTCTCATTTCTCAAAAATATTTTTGTTCAGAACTTTAAATTTACTAGTCAATATTATCAAACACAACATTTTTAATTTATTTATTGAAATGTAATCATTAAGATTATTTGACCACCATTTACATAAGGAGAATCTAAATGTCCATATAAAATGCATCAATAGGTAATTTATTTGGACTGAGAATAATGTAAAAAGTTATATACCATAAAGTTCGGGATGATGGAATAATGTACATTGTATTGGGTTTTCCTTGGGGTGCCTCCTTCTGATCCTATGACCATTCCATTCCAAACGTACCTGGTCCAACTGACTGTAGAATCTGCATGAAGCAGTATCTCACACATTCCCTATTTCCAATTCAATTTATAATTTAGAATCCTCCCTTTGAAAAGAGGCAGTAATTATAGCCAAAGTAAATAACTTTAATCACAGTTGTTTTAAATTTTACTGAAGTATATGCACATAAAATAAACGTTATTGAGGATCTTAAATAAGAAATATAATTTAATTCAATCAGTTTATTTCTGTCTTTTTGTTCTTACTTACGTTAGTAAAGTAATAAACCTCACACCGATACATTCAACAGTTTTTAATGAGTAGAGGACAATGTGGCTTTTATTTTATGTATGGTCGTAATTGTTGCCTGCTTAATCGGGAAAGCATCGGATTTGTAACCCAGGGGTCGCTGGTTCGATCCTCGGGCGAGGCGTAATTTCTTCGTAGCAGTTGATGTCTAAGGGTCATTTATCTCTCACCGCTGATTTAAAAATCATGTGAGATTAGTGAGATTACATGTGGATTTCATTTGCTGTAAACATTATTCTGTTCCATGATTGAAAACATTTCTTTCCAAGCTGCTGTACATAGTTGATGCAGTTGCATGTGCACGAGCGAAAATCATTCGGTTTCACAACGCTCTTTAACTGTCCATAAACAACAGATAAGAGACCCGAACACAATACAGATTTAGGTATAATTATGCTGTAAAAAGAATCCTAAAGGTTTAGTATTTCTGTATAGGATATCGACCGAGTACGAGGTCTATCTGTTTAGGAAAGACCTGGTCACGAATTTCATGTGACACCGAGACCGCGTAGCGCTCGAGGTGTTTCATGAAATTCGTGACCAGGTCTTTCCTAATCAGAAAGATCGATGTACGAGGCCGATATCCAACTCACACCGTTAAAACTACATTGGCTTGAAATTTGATGAAATGCACAAATATTATTTTTAACACAACGCATAAACAGGTAAGCTTTTATAAATACAATATATACTTTGCTTTCCCCTTTAAAATAAAAAATAAATAAAAAAAAAGCTAAATGTGCAATTTGTAAATAATAAAGTGAATAGATCCGTTATAAAAAGTATGTTAAAGAATGAATAATAATTAATGTTGATCGTATTTCGTATCCGACAATTCAGATTCTAGGACATTTGCCCCCCGGACGTATGCCCGCTTTTTGCCGTTGTGACTTGTCATCTCGTGTTTGCCAATGGAACCATTTTAGTTTTATTTATTTATGGATGCTATTTTGACTTTCACAAATTTGCACGAGTTAAGCACAATGAAATTTCGACAATAGGCGATGAATTATGGTAGCAAACAATTCAACAATAAAATATTTTTTAAAACAGGGAAGGTGGACAAATGTCCGCCCCTTCCAAAGATATGAGGGGGCAGTTGACCGCCATTGCAAAAAGGGGGCACACTAGCGAGGGGGAAACTGTCCAAAGGGCAATATGTGGATACCCAACAGACTACGAAAGACTTACATATGTATATTGTTGGCAAGTGTGAGATACATGAACCGAAACTATATTTTATAGATTATAAAGTGTTCTAGAATAAAACATGATCGTTCATCGTAAAATGTTTTAAACTAAATCACTTATAACTTTATTAACATTTTAAAATGGTCAGGAGTATGATGTGATTTCTGCTACATGTATATAGTTTCATACATATGAACTTGAAGCGTTCATTTTGTTATATTACGAACTTAATGACAGAATTACAATTACTTAAAAAATTACGCGATTAAATAAATGTTATTTGTGTCCTAACTCTGATATGCTATCCATTATTTTTATTGAAAAGATTTAATGTAGGGATGCTGGAATAATTACTTAGTTAAAAGGGTTTTAATTTTTGATTGCATTTTCTGGGCATAGGCAGGTCTATTTTTTCACGTGTATTTCATGACCGGGTCTGTCTGTCTAGAATAGAACTGACCTGTGCACGTGCAAAAGATAGACCTCATAACGAACTTTCTTTTGTTTAAACAGGTCTATAAAAATATATACCTGTCACAAATAATAGAGGAGGTGTGTAAGTTTTATAAATTTCATATTCGATGTGTAGGCTATCTTAATCAAACGTACCTTCCTACCTTTAAAAAAGTACACCTGATTGATGTGCGAACTGCCTATAATAACACTTCCATCACCACACCTTCTGTTGTTGTGAAACCATCGAAACGCCCTCTGTATATCTGCCACAATAACATTTTCGGTACTAGCATCCATCCTGATGCAACAAGGAACTCATGTAGAAAGTAGATAAAATTTAAATCTTCGGACTGAACTGTGAAACAGTGTGCCCTGCTATTTTCTGAATAAGAAAAATAAAAACTATGAACAAAAATAAACAAAATATGAATAAGAAACTTAACCAACCGTGCATGCCATGGAGATATTTCGTGTGTATATGTGAACAATATGTTCAGATTTATTTTAATTCAGTCAACAAACCACTTCCATAAACCTAAGCAAAATTAAACACATATATAATTATTTTATAGTGACATCTTGTTATCTAGGTACAAAATATATAGATCATCAATGACAAAGAAAAAATGTACCTCTTTATTTAATTTTATCCATGAAATATGGTGCTATATCAGTCAAATATATTTCATTTTTTTTTTAAATGAATATGAAATATAAATATGAAATTGGGCGGAGTTAAAACTCATATTTATTACATGCTTTTCGATGGATTATAGAAATATATCAGTGATTTATAAACTGGTAATTTCACTGTTTGAAACAGTGAAATTATCAATTTGATAATTTCACTGTTTTGAATTTAAGCCCGTTACGTTGTCTCAGAGAAATACCAGCGTGCATAGTACTGGAAACCAGCTTAATGACGTGACGTCGTAAATGACGTCACGTTGTATTAGAATTTGGCGCGCTTTTCATTTAGTACTAGGATAAAATGTCTTTTTAAACGTTTCTTAGCATGTAAAATAAAAAGAAAATTTGTTTAGTTTAGTGTAAGATCGAAATATATTTCACCTCGTGAACACCAAAAGTTCATATTTCACTCGTGGCTGCGCCACTCGTGAAATATACCTTTTGGTGCTCACTCGGTGAAATATATTCCGATCTTACACTGAACTTAACAAATATCCTCTATTTATTATATACTTATAAATGAAATATTGAGAAATATTGATGAAATAAAATGCGTATTTTCATTTTCCGTATTTTCACTGTAAAAATTTATTTTTCACTGCAGTGAAACATATTTTCCGTATTTTCACTGGTGTCTTACCGGACTACTTTCTTTTAAATTCTGCCAGTACACAAAATTTAAGGGAAAGTCTTTGAAATTTTATCGCAAAAAAAGAGAAAAATGTATATAATAAACAGAAAATTCAAGTTTTTTCTATAAATACATGATTTATTTTCATCTTGTGGCATGAAAATTACCATATTTCACTCGTGGCTACGCCACTCATGAAATATTTATTTTCATACCACTCGATAAAAATAAATCATGTATTTATAGAAAAAACTTGAATATCCTCTATTTATTTTAAGGGACTTCTGTCGCCATTTTGTTTGAAAAATCTGATAAATACAAAACAACTTTTGTTGAATTTTGCTTTGAAAACTATCTAGAATGATAGAAAATTAATCCGAACACCAATATCTTTAATTTAGTTATTAACGCTATACAGACGTTTAAACAGTTGTTTACGTGACGTCACAATGTAGCGCCAAATATCGCGTGCAAAACAAGACGCAATAATATATTACTGTGCGCTGTACAATTGCAGTTGCGTAGCAAGCAATAGGGTTTGTAACCATTTTTCTTTGATAACGAAATTAAATAAAAAGGTTATTTTTTTCGTTTTTCGTGAAATATGGTATATATTTTCACTCAACATGATAAAATGCCACATTTTTCACTCGCCGTCCCGGCTCGTGAAAATATATTCCATATTTCACTCAAACGAAAAAATATCCTCTTAATTTTCTTGCAACCATTCCAGAAAGTAAGAAGCTACCACGGCAGGATTATTGTTGGTTGCCATAGAACTATCTTGGAATACGTAAAGAAATGGTAAAATAAGAAAATTATTTAGGAGTAAATTTTCCGTGACAGTTATTACGAAAGAGATAATGTCCACAGCAGTACTTGATGATAACTAGGTAAAGATCATTTAGTTTGTTTTCACAACTGTCACAGTTTAGAACTGTTCACTAATAGGGGAGATATTGTGTAAACAGCCGGATAGCTCAGTCGGTAGAGCGGTACAGTATTCCGATGGTCACGGGTTCGAGTCCCGGTCAGGCTGCACATTTTTCTGACCATAAGACACAAGTCAACTAAAAATTTAAAATGGAAAATAGTAGTTTTCGAGTTTACAATTTTAGAAATGTTAAAAGAGTTCATATTGCTTCTACTGGAGTTCTTAAAATGCTGTATAATTTTATATTATACCTCATTTGCATACGCCCTTCTATATTTAATATGACGTCATCCGGTCCATAAACCGCATACAGACCGGGGGCGGTCCAAAATTCTAATATGGACTGGATGACGTCATATTAAATATAGAAGGGCGTATGCAAATGAGGTATAATATTTTATTTTGTTGTTAAATGATTCTTTTTACTGAATTTATTGTTTTGTTTCACATAAAATATATCATGTTGATCAAAACTCAAGATTTGTCTTTTAACTAATTATAAATTTTATCTATAACTCGATATATTTTAACAAGAGCACCGCTAGGCGGAGAATTATTTGCCCGAAAGTGTTTTTTTTTTTTACTAAGGATGAAGCATTTGTAAGACATTACATAAATTAAATAAAGTATTACCTCCTTCAAATAGCAATCCTCCTATAAAGTTTGAATATTGTGGGCCAAATGGAACTTCAGTTATGCTCTGGAAACTGTTTTTAGTTTTGAGGTAATAGCTACCTTGAACTTTGACCGTGCGACCCCAAAATCAATAGGGGTGTTCTACCATATATGGACACTCATCCTATGAAGTTTCAACACTATGGCCAAATAAAAATTAAGTTATGTTCTGGAAACTGTTTTCAGTTTTAAAGTAATAGTGACCTTGACCTTTGACATTGTGTCCCCAAAATCAATAGGGGTATTCTACCCAATATGGACAATCATCCTATTAAGTTTGAATATTGTGGGACAAATAGACCTTAAGTTATGCTCCGGAAACTGTTTTCAGTTTTAAAGTAATAATGACCTTGACCTTTGACTTTGTGACCCCAAAATCAATGGGGGTCTTCTACCTAATATGGACAATCATCCTATGAAGTTTGAACACTGTCGGCCAAATGGACCTTAAGTTATGCTCCGGAAACTGTTTTCAGTTTTAAGGTCATAGTGACCTTGACCTTTGACCTTGTGACCCAAAATCAATAGGGGTCTTCTACCCAATATGGACAATCATCCTATGAAGTTTGAATGTTGTGGGCCGAATGGAACTTAAGTTATGCTCCGGAAACCAAATTGCTAACGGACGAACGGACGGATCGACAGACAGACGGACGGACGCCAGGGGGTATAACATAATATGCCCGAAATTCTTTCGGGCATATAAAAAGGGGAAATACACTCGTTCCCCTTTTTAATGCACTATTTTTACATTATTTTATTTTATTATATTGTTTTGTGAAAGTAAAAGACAAACAGCTAAAATAAACATCCAAATTTTATTTTTTGGTTCTTTTGCACATGTTTTCGGGGGAACCGTTCCCCCGAAGAACAAAAGCTATGTACAGAATACAACATGTCTCAATAAATAAAAAGCAATTTTTCAGTAATCAGAGATACATTATGCTTACGGGGGAACCATTCCCTCATCGAAATAAAAATTAAATTTCAAAACTTATCTTTAACAGATTTTCTTGAGTTGAACCGTTCCCCCTTAAAAATAATGATATAACAATTTGATCAAATAAAATGCAATAATTAAGAAATAAGAGCCATGTTACCGGAAAGAGGGAACCATCCCCCCATCAAAATTAAAAATAAACTTCAAATCTTATCTATATCACATTTTCTAGAGTGGAACCGTTCTCCCTTAACAAAACAGATATAACAAATCAAATAAAATGTTATAATTAACAAAAATTTAGAGCCATGTGACTGGTAAGAGGGAACTGTTCCCCCATCAAAATTAAAAATAAACTTCAAATCTTATCTATAACACATTTTCTAGAGTGGAACCGTTCCCCCTTAAAAATACAGTTATAACAATTTGATCAAATAAAATGCAATAATTAAGAAATAAGAGCCATGTTACCGGTAAGAGGGAACCATTCCCCCATCAAAATTAAAAATAAACTTCAAATCTTATCTATAACACATTTTTTGAGTGGAACCGTTCCCCCTTAAAAAATACAGATATAACAAATCAAATAAAATGCAATAATTAAGAAATAAGAGCCATGTTACCGGTAAGAGGGAACCGTTTCCCCATCAAAATAAAAATAAACTTCAAATCTTATCTATAACACATTTTCTAAAGTGGAACCGTTCCCCCTTAACAAAACAGATATAACAATTTGAGAGAATTAAGTGCAGTTATTTAGAAATTTAGAGCCAGGTTACCAGTAAGAGGGAACCGTTCCCTCATTGAAATAAAAAACAAATTTCAAAAGTTATCTTTAACACATTCTCAAGAGTGGAACCGTTCCCCCTTGACAAAACATTATATAACATTTAATGCAATAATTTAGAAATTCAGAGCCATGTAAAGGGTAAGAGGGAACAGTTTTCTTATCAAAATAAAAAATAAATTTCAAAACTTATCTTTAACACATTTTCTAAAGTGGAACCGAAATAGACATAACAATTTGATAGAATAAAATGCAATTATTTAGAAATTTAGAGCCATGTTACTGGTAAGAGGGAACCGTTCCCCCTTAACAAAACAGATATAACAATTTGATAGAATAATATGTAATAATTAAGAAATTTAGAGCCATGTTACTGGTAAGAGGGAACCGTTCCCCCTTAACAAAACAGATATAACAATTTGATAGAATAAAATGCAATAATTTAGAAATTTAGAGCCATGTTACTGGTAAGAGGGAACCATTCCCTTATCAAAATAAAATATAAATTTCGAAACATATCTATAACACATTTTCTAAAGTAGACCCGTTCCACTCTAAGAAAACAGATAATACATTTTGATAAAATAAAATGTAATAATTAAGAAATTAGAGCCATGTTACTGGTAAGAGGGAACCGTTC